CACAAAATCAAAAAATAAGTGTGCCGTCAAGGCACAAATCCTATTTATCATACGATTTGTGAAACAGATTTGTGTGCAGATTTGCGCGGTGGAGACCAAACTCAAGCCTGAGTCGCCATATTTTAGAAATGGCCACAATTTGCCTGCGCGGTGGAGATGCTCTAAGTCATATAAAAATTTCTTCCGAAAAATGAAAACGGCCTCATAACATGAGGCCGTCCCTTTCTGCCCCGTCGCCTTCGGGCCCCCCAAACTGCAATACCTGCAACGTATTTGGGTGCTGTACCAAGGGTACAGAACTGTTGCCCACACGCACACGTGGTAAGCGGTGCCTGCTTTGGCACTGGCACAGTCGAGGCCAAGAGAAAATGAGCATGGCGGTTGTCGTTGCGTGGGCCAGCGGGGAGAAGTGCGCTCGGAGGGAGACGGAACGGAACGGCAGGGTGTCGCGAAGGGAAGAGGGGCAGGAAGGAGGCGATTGAGAGGGCCTGGAAGGGGCAGGAAGGGGTGAAGCGGAACGCTAGAGACAGAGCCCCTGGCGCGGGAAGGCGGGGTGGCGTGGGGAGGATAGGTAGTGCAAAGGGAGGAGCTGGGCGAAAAGCAAGAAGGGGACATCAGGTGAATTCCTGAAAGAGCCGGGTGGATTCTCGACGAGCGTAAGGCAGGCACCTGATGGATTCTCGGCAACTGCCTCTGGGCACCAATAAGATCTTGGTTTGACGGTGCTCAATGTATCGGCCATCGGTACAGAAGTATCAAGGGTACTCCACGAATCATGCAAAATTCAAACAGTCCCAAAATGCGGAGGGGCGAGGAGACAGTTTGTCTCTCTGGGAGGCTCTGCGGCCTTTCACTTTTGCGTTCCGCCGGCACCCAAGTCGTTCCACCGGCACGCAAACCGTTCCACCGTTCCGGTGGAACGGAAACCAGACTTGATTGTTAGTGGGTGACACAGAAGTGTCCTGGAAAAGTTGCAGAAAACCATTCCCGCTTCGTGAACAGCAATGCAAAGCGTGGTACAACAAGGTGCGAGTATTGGGCAATGGGAGGGTGATCGACAAGATCCAAGAATTAAGGGTATTCCATTTCTTCCTTTTGACTTTCCTGCGCCAAGTCTGCCGGAGCAAGAACTAATTCTCAACTCAAATCGGAGAAGAATTCATGACGTATCAGAAAACACCCCTTGTGTAACCGCACGCCAGTCTGCACATATGAGGTGTCCAGTCGATGCGAATCGTTCCGCTTTGGACTTTGGACCCTGACCAGCAAACGAAATGTGATAATCTAAACCTTGCGACACATATCAGCGCATCACGAGGAGAACGCAGACGGGCGTAAGGTAAAAAACGGACAAGATCTTCCAGCTGCTGATGGTATACGTATGACCGCTACGTCAATGTATGTATGCCCAGAACGTATGCCCATAATGTAAGCCCAGAATGTATGCCAAGACTGTATGCCCAGAATCCGAGGTGTACGTCGCATTCAACCAATCATACTTGCTAGGGCAGTAATAGTAAGTATGGCCTGGTTCATCCCTCCAAATTCCCTGTTTGGAGGGAGCGCGTGCCTGACCTTGACCAGGCAGGAGTTGCCCTCCCGGGTGAAGGTTATGAAAACACGGGGGACGATCAGTGCGATGTGATTGCCATGTACTGCCTTGTGCACCCGTTCCACCACGAATAGCAGCATCTTCTGAGCGCCCTTCAGCATTCTTTAGCACCCTTTACATTCAGTTATAACCGCAGCGGGCATCAACTTGCTTTCTTCTTTTCGGTCTTCATTCGGTCATCTTCACCGTCCTCCACACGACTCGTCCAACCTCAACCGAGAACCAGCACGTCCCATTCACTGAACATAACCCTTTTCGCCATGTTCGACCACTCTCTCCCCACCTCTCGTCGCCTCGTCCGCTCCGGCTTTCTCCTCGCCGCAACCCTCACCCTCTCGCTCATTGCGCACTCGTGCAACGCCATCCCACTGCCCCTACCCGCACCTGGTACCGTGCCAGCCCTACCAACTCCCGAACCCAACAACAACCATATGTGGCGATCTAACTACTCGCTTCTCGCTATGGGTCTTGTAGTTATCGTCAACTTCATCTACCTCGTCCGATGGGTCACTGATTGGTGTTGCAACTGTCCTACCGACCTCCTTCGCTCCTCAGCCATCCCAGACAATCACGTCCTTCCCCTGTCTGTACCGCATTTGACAACGGCGGAGGATGCCGGTAGAGTTGTGTCGTCCTATGTCGATGTCACCCTTTCTTCCGTCAATCGCCGAGTCACGCTATCGTCAACCACATCGTCTGGGGAACCCCACGCCTGAACCCCACGCCTGACCTCATCCTCCTGCGCTCAATGTCTATCCCTCTTTTTGTTGTGGTCTTGATCGTGAGCACCCAAGCCTCGACCCCAACCCACCCTTTTGGTTTGTAAATGCTCACTTTGACATGACGGAATTTGTGTCGGTTTTCCACGAGATTTGCGAAATACATTCTTAGCTGAGTAGTGTCATATGGATATGGACGGGTCCTGTTCGGCTTGGTTGGCGGCGAGGTTGAAACTTCGAACACGCTTACCGCGTTTGCTTTTTGTTCTGCCCACCCTTCTTCGATGTATGATACTGTACACGATATATCTATTCAGCATAGCATATCGTTCATACAGAACTATTTTCTGTATTGTGTAATGCGTTTCGAAGAATTGAGCGGACGTTTGCAATCCTGGTATTAGCTCACATGAAGAACGTCTGTTGTGTCAAGGTGTGGTGTGCCCTTTGCACCCCTGGAAAGTGGGCTGAATCAAAAGAACCCATTGCTCTCCCCCCTACGAGCAACCTCTGCACGCCGAGTACAGTACTCGAACAAGTCTCATTGCGCGCCGGCAGTGGTGCACCTTTTTGGTGCAGTAATTGTATTGCGTACTTTCGCTTGCTGTAAACGTGGGAATCCTTGAGCGCTGTGGTGAAGAGCTTTATTTTTCTAACATTCAGGGGAGCCGATGCAATATCACGAGGCAGGCGTCAAGGCCTCACACTTGGGCTGGATACGATAGGGCGGCGCCGTCAAAAGAGTTTTATTTTTCTAACATTGCCGCGCCGTCTACGCATTTATTTTCACTAATCAAGGGGGGGCCGATGCCATATCACAGCCTGTGATATGTGATTCACAGGGCAGGCTTCAAGGACTCATGTGCGTAGTGTGAACACTTGGGTCGGACAGGATAAGGCCTGGCCATGATAAGGCATGCGGGCGAGGGTGGCTGAGGCAACACTTGACCATGACCATATGGCGTAGCTCAGGCGCTTAGAGAGTCGGGACTTTGCTGTACCAAATGTGATACCGGTGCGGATAGCAATTTTTTTGCGCGAGAGACTCGAGCACAGCTGTAGAGCGGCTACTGGGAGCGCCCAGGGTGTCGAACGCAAGAGGCACAAAGTGCCAGTCCAGAAGGGGGAGAGCGGCGTTGGATTCTAGATGTATGTACCCTTCCCCAAAAGGGTAATTTGGAGTAAACTTTGAAATATGGCAAAAACAAACAGATTTATTAGTAGGATATCAAAACACTCGGCCCCATGACACAAAACTGGGTCAAAAGTTCGTTGGTAGCTTCAGATTGGTCAGAAAACGGATATTATTTGAGATATTCACATTTGTCTATCCATCACAAGTGGCCTCCTTTTGAGGAAGGAGAGGGCAATTTGGAGTGTCTATGTCATGCGCATGAAGCGTGACCAGCGCCTCGACGACATCGTTCTCTTCCATGGAACGTTCTCCCAAAGATGCCACTACGGTCTCCGGTGCTGATCTGCATCGCTTGGACCGGTCAGAACACTCAAAACCTTGGGGGAAAGCAGCTTGTGCATTGGAAATCGCCAATTTTCGTATCTTTTTCATCCTTTTGGCTTCTTCTTTTTGAAGCCTCATATGTTCTCTTTGCGCCTTTTATGCTTCTTAAGCTCCTCTTTTGCCTCTTTGGCAGCAGCAGCAGCAACTTGGCGTTCTTGGGCTCCCCATGTGTCAAATATAGAGCGGGGGTTCCATGTTGCAGCACTGGGCGTGATTCAGCCTGTTTTCCTTTCTCGTTCACAACTGTGCGGTTCAACACACTATATTTTTCGAAAAAATCAACGCTCTCCAAATTACCCTTTTTCTCCAAATTACCCCTTTTGGGGAAGGGTAGAGCTGAGCGGATAATGCGAGCACCGTCATGATTTCTTTATTTCTCTAACATTGTGTAAGGGGGCCGTCATATCGATTTTATTTGTCTAACATTATTGTAATGTAATAAGGGGGGCCGATGCTGTAATGGGGTAAATTTATTCAAATTCTAGGAGGGGGCCGATGCGGTACCACGAGGCAGGCGTCAGGTGCTCATGTGAGCTCAAATTTTGAGCTTCAAAGTGTGAACACTTGGGCTGGATGCTGTAAGGGGGGGGTAAATTTATCAATGCAGAAGGGGTGCGCTTAAAATGCTGTACGTGTATTTTTTATTCAAATGCTAGGGGTACCGATGCTGTATCACGGGGCAGGCGTCAAGGACTTACACTTGGGCGGGGCTCGATAGGGCCGCGCCGTGATAGGGCATACGGGAAAGGGTGGCAGAGGCCAAACTGGACCAAACAGCGAAACTGATGCGTTGTAGTAGACGTATCTTGGCGGTCCCGTAAGATGAATATGTCGCTGTAATTTGAGCTTATCATAACATTATCTTTAGTAACGTATAAATAACATAAAAATATATCGCTGTTAACGGTAATATGTGGCGGTGTTCGTCTAGTGGCTAGGACCCCACGTTGTGGCCGTGGAAACGGGAGTTCAATTCTCCCATACCGCACTCCGATTTTTGCTTCATTTTTGGCTCCTGCTTCCAGCATTGGATACATGGGGCACAGCCAATTGATCTACGCCTATCCAGACCGACTGCCTTGGCTTCGAATCTATCATCAACGTCCCATCGCCCCTGCGCAAGTCTCCGCTCGCCCGCTCGGTATCCATCATGTTTCTCACGCGATCCGAGTACGATCGCGGAGTCAATACTTTTTCCCCCGAAGGACGCCTGTTCCAAGTCGAATACGCCATCGAAGCGATCAAGCTCGGCTCCACCGCTGTCGGCATCCAAACCGCCGATGGCGTCGTCATCGCCGTCGAGAAGCGCTTGAGCTCCCCTTTGCTCGTCCCCACTTCTGTGGAGAAGATCATGCAGATCGACTCCCACATCGGCTGCGCAATGTCCGGCCTCACCGCTGACGCCCGCACCCTCATCGATCACGCCCGCGTCCAGACTCTTCACCATCGCTTCGTCTACGATGAACCCATGACGCCCCGTGCCTGCACTCAGGCTTTGTGCGATCTAGCATTGCGCTTCGGAGAAGACGGCAAAGACGAAGACGCCATGTCCCGTCCTTTCGGCGTCGCCTTGCTCGTCGCTGGCGTCGACCACACGGGGCCTAACTTGTACCATACCGATCCGAGTGGTACCTACGTCAAATGGAAGGCAAAGGCTATCGGCGCGGGAAGCGAGGGCGCTCAGACAGCTTTGCAAGAGAGCTACAGCTCCAATATGAGCATGCAGGAAGCGGAGACCCTTGCTCTGCGCACCCTCAAGCAGGTCATGGAGGAGAAGCTTGATGGAACCAATGTTGAAATTGCCGCCATTAGAAAGGAGAAGGGCGAGTTTCGAATTTATTCTCAGGAGGAACTCAAGGAATGTATTACTCGCTTGTAGGGCGTGCTGGTCACGAAAGCAAGTCGCCTCAACTGACAAGCTGTTACATACGGATGCGGATCGGCCGCTCGATTTTGTTCTGCGGTGATTTGTGCTTTTTGTAAATAGCGCCTTACTTCACGCATTCATTCCAGACCATTGGGGAGAGCGCTATTTCTGACTACAATTTGCAGTCGTGTGCTGCTGTCAAGCTGTTTTCAAATAGAGGCTCGCATACTTGTTTGATTGTGCCTCTGTATCGAGACCTTGCCCACGTGAACACACTGGAGATTACGCGCATCAGCTACGCAGCAGACTGTACGATACTGTTCGTCTTCACGACATGTGCACCAGTCGATGCCCCAGCGATTCATATTTCATGGCGCTATCAATGAATATGGGAATGTGTCTCTAGGCTGTCCCGAAATGTCCGCCCTGATCGAAACAATATCATTCAGGATGAATGAATCCTCTTTTGCGGCTACAACGCCTTCACTCTTTCAGTCGAGAAGCGAAAGTTCTCTCCGTTCTATTCTAAAATCAAAACTGATCCATTTGCATTATTTCTGTGTGTTTACATATGCGTCCGAAAGACATGTTCGGGATTGCCCCCTACGTCAGGGCTAGCGTGCAGCACAGTTAACCTTGACCTAGACTATCTTGGGAGAAGATCAACGTGGCCCAACGCTAGCAGATTGCGGGAGCGGAGGAAAATTCGCCGCATGTAGAGGCGACATGTCCTTTGACACCACTGAAGTCCTTCGCCTATCTCGCTGATCGTGCTGATCGTCCCCATACTTATCTCGATGATCGCGCCGACCGTCTCTGCTTTGCCAGCGCCGAGCACGCTGTGGGGATCTGCTCTTCACGTTGCGAGGCCGATTGGTCTGTGATGGGACAGAAGACCGGTCTTGTACTGTCTTCAAACATGACTTGTAGCTCTCTACGTGACTCGACTGCCTAGAGGCGGGAGCGCCCCATTCCCTTGTGCGTTGATTGCGAACAACTGGGCTTCGCGTTTCTGGAGCCCCTCTGTCGGGCATCTGACGATGCGTGGTGTTGCCTTCCGAGCTAATGTCAGAACCCACTTGTTCAATTAGCGTCCCATTCATGTCACAGCACTGACCAGCAAGGCTGCCATGATCTACATTCTCTGCGTATCGTGCTGGTAACCCTCGTCGCTCAGCTTTGCACGACCTGAGCTCTGAACGTGATTCAACGGAGCTCAATTGCGACAAAGGAGGAGGAGTCACCGTGCTGCGGGTGTGGTACTCAGGGGCTTGCAGTTGAGCGCGGTGGGAAGACACAGCTGCCGTCGCTGGCTCCGCGCAAGAATACTTTGCTGAATGAAGTGCCTGTTGCGCCTTGTCTCGACGCGATCCGTGATCCCTTCTCTGCCTGACTGCTGTACCTTGCGGCTGCACTACTGCGGGAACTGGATGTGTGCGGGGCATGGATCGGGTCCCCGGGTGGTCGCTGTCTAATTTATGATGTGAAGGGAGCCGATTCCCCTCTTCCGCTTCCATGGCCTGTGGTGGATGTTCAACAGCCGCTGCCCCTCTGTGCCTTTGGGACCTGGCACTCATTTCGCCTTCCGTAGCGGCCCCATTTTGTAACGCCGTAGTCGGGATACCCCGCAGTTGTGTGGACTGCTGGTCATCCGTGAAAACAGCATGAACGGTGGCTTGTTGCTGGTCGTAGAAGGACCCAACTTGTTGTGTGAAAGCTGGGTTGTCTGCAAGCACCGGAATAGGGTAGGGAACAGGCGACCCCAGTAGCTGCTGGGGCGCCTCCACAGGGAAAGTCCCAGGTTCGCAATTAGACGCGGTAGCATTGGGCGGCAAAGCAAAGTGCTCAGGCGAGACTGGACGGTGCAATGGAAATTGAACTCCAAAGTGTTGCGCGTACTGTTCCTCATGCGGCCATTGCTGTTGAAACTGCAGCTGGTTTGGGGCGTGCTGTGGGAGCGGATATGCAGCTGGAATGCCATACGGAGGGCATGCTAGCTGGAAGGACCCGGGCACGATATAAACTGGACATGGCATGAGGCGGACAAACAGGAAGGAGACGTCGACCTCCAGCGCGCGGGAGTAAGTCGCCAGTGCCCTTGCAACATCAAATGGGCTTGAAGCGCCAAGTAGGGTCATTCGGGGCCAGCTGCATATCTCTGAGAGAAGCACCCAGCCATCAGAATGCATCATATCCTGCAGGTAGCGATCGTGCGGAAGATTAGATGGACTGAAATAGAACTCGATCTGCAAGACAATAGCCAGTGTATGCTGGAAGAATGACATCTTGGAACGGGTTCAGGGTGCGATTGTGCGAATGGGATGTGGATAAAGAAACAGTGGACGACAACAACGAGAGGCTGTAGGGTGCTGCAGCGGGGTGTTCCAGAGCTTGAAAAGTAGCAAGAGAGTCGATAAAATCGTTTTGAGGCGAGAGATACAATAAAAGCCGAAAGTACGGTTGAAATATCCTTACTAAGACCGATTTGCTGCTGAGGTAGCACTGAGAGTGGTTCGAAAAGTAGGAAATGCAATTGAATCAGAAGAGGGCGTGTGAGGAGATCAAAAGGCGAGCGAGTGTTGGATAGCTGAGTAGCGAAGCGAAATTGAAGGCGAAAAAGAGATGGGTCAGGAAGAGGGAGAGTTGAGTTGATGAGCGGAGTCGAAGACGAAGCCGAGATGAGTCAAGCAAAGATATAGCTTGGAGTAGAGTAGGCAAAGCAGATGGTGACAGAAGGAGGTATGGGGTGGTATTTATGTGGGTTAGGAAGAGAACGCAGAGGTTGGAACGCAAATTGAAAAGATTAAGTGGCAAGCGGGAACGGTCCCAGAGAGGAGAGGGGAGGAGGGTGACGGAAGATTGTGTTGCGTGAAAGTGGGTCGGTTGTCAATTTTCAATTGTCATTGTGCGTGGGATACGGGGCGTGGAAAGTGCACGATTCGAGGGGCATGATTCCGGTTGAATGGCTTCGGAAATGGCGAGAATCCGGGGCCGTTGGTCGACACGGAAGGAGGGAGGAGCATCGTGATTGAGGAAAGTGGAGAGGCATGGTTGCAGCCGTGACGGAAACAGCGTCCCCACCAAGGTGGCAAGATACTGTCGCACCTTCTGTGATGACGGTGACGGTTGAGGCACGAGGGAGAAGGTTTCTGGATGGTTGCTGAATATGGAAATGCGGGGAAGCTGGAAAGCATTAAAAGAACCGTCTGGACCGCCAGGACGGGAGAGGAGTTAGGGGTCGATGTCGGGTCATGGGTTAAACTAAATGCCGCTCGAGGGAATATATGTTTACGTGTCGCGTGAGGAGATCACAGTAGATCACGGATCAGAATCATGTTGGTGACGTGTTTCGTCACGTTTTTTAGCTGTGCTATGTGCATGTGTGGATTGAATTAATTCGTCATACAGTTCGGTAAACGAGATATTGCACACCGCTGAGAAGGGTGAGAAAGGCGCATTATTCACAGCGTGCATTGCTCGAAACATCCACATGTCGGCGACCCCAACTGTGCAGCCCAGAAACTTCGGACACGTGTGAACGCCGCTTATTTTTAGCAGGACTAAACCTTGTGCACTGTTCATGAAATGCGCTACCCAAAAGTGCATTACTACAACACTGCGCTGCGCATACCTTTTCCTGTCCTAGTGCTACTCGTTCTTTCTCTAGCTAGACTAAAGGTGACTTTCATCCAGCCAATATGCAGAGGTTCACAACTTCTTGATGATCGCCAACGAGATAATTAATTTACTATACGGCATAGGCGCACAACGCGTGTGCTTCTACTTTGCAAAACTAGTGCTGCTGCTTTGCAGAATCTATAATGCAAGTTGTGTTATCGAGGCCTTTTTTCTATGTTCCACACTACAGTTGCAAATATTACGCGTGCGGACAGTCGATCACTCTCCCGCTAGTTTTCGCAAGAAAAGTTACATAATTGTAGCACACACATAAATAGATATGATTTGGGGGGACATTTGCATGTCCCTGTTCGCAAACGTAACACAACTGCATGAAAAATTGGAGATAAACATGTCTTCTCTGTCCAAGTTCTTCAAAAGGTTGGTTTCCGGCTTACATAACCACCGTGTTCAACATGGACTCCGATAGACAAATATATCCCTTACCATTTTATGCGCTCGCAATCCAGTCCTTAATATTAAGTTGGTATCCACACAAAGACCTGTCCCGAAAACGCAGTATTGCTTAATGACTGTAATACGACGTGTTCACTTACAAAAGAATAGGGAAGTGCGATTTTCTATCCCTGTCACATGCTTATGACATGAAAAGTTCATTTCCTCTGAGAGGATATTTCTGCCACACCTCATGCAAGTCCGAGGCCCAAGAAATGGAAGTGTAAAGGCGCTACAAGAACGCCCTATTCCTGCAAGTGAACATGGTCTCCACATAAACAAATAGTCAAACATCAAGGTAAGGCGACAGCTATGATTCAAATATTGTCATCGCGCTTTCCAAAGCGCGATGACAATATTTGAATCCTGGGTTTGGAGCAAGAGCCTCGCTCAATGCTCAAAAAGTATGATGGAAGACGTTATTCACGCAGCGTACACACTATTGTAAAATGACAGGGCAACTGCGGGCAGACTGGCACTAGCATGTTTGGACGTGGCGGCCTTATTGCCAGCACTCCACAACTCGTGGAGGTCTTGGGATCGATGCCTCTTTATTCTTTTGAACCTCAGGTCTTTGAGGCTTTATGTAGGGATTTGACTACCGGAAAACTACAGGAATCGCTAGACAGTTCCTCTCTTCTAGAATGCATGCACCATCATGGTGCATCAAATAATGTCAAATGCAAGAGAGGGACAGCTGAAACTTCCCACAAGGTACTGTGTCACAGTACTACAGTCCTCCCTCTCAAAGACTCCGTAAGGAGTTTCGGGCCCGCTGAACCTTAGCTTTGTCCGCAAAGGTCTTTAGAAATTGTTCCACCATATCTGGGATATCTTCATGCATGCACTGCAGAGATTCCCAATTAGGTTCCTCGTGTGCGAATCCTTTCCATTTAACGCGAACCTCGTATCTCTTCTCCCTGAAATTGTAGCGCAGATCCAAGAGCTTGAGTGCGACATTGTAGTGAATGTCATTATGGTCGATAGTATCGAGTAATTCCTGAGTCACATTAAGTTGTGAATCGGCGTAGAACTTCAATCTATTGGCATGGACAAGCGCGATCCTTTCATTGACCAAATCCTGGCACTCATAGACCCAGTCAGACACAGCACGGATAATTTTTTGCGGTCCTAACCACTGGAGTTGAAGCTTTCTTCCATCTTGTGCTATGCGCTTGGCCACTAAGACGAAGTCGCCAATAGAGAAGTTTGCGTGTTGCACATTGGTCTTTCGATTGTGTGCGTTGATGGAGGCCTCTCTGCGTTTGGTCCTTCGGGTGGCCACGTCTTGATGCAAGGATTCCAACGATTCAAGAAGAGCGTCAGTACGTATGCACCGTAAAAGCTTGATTGAATCGAGAGACTTGGGCTTTGAGTGTGTTGGGGGAACGATAAGGCTGAGAGGGTTGTCCGGTGGTAA